ACTAAAAAATAAAAGGGCTGGGGATGTTGCTCAGTGGTTAAGCACCCCCTGGGTTTATTCCTTAGCACCAAAAAGAAAAAAGAAAAAAAAAAAAAAAAAGAAAGAAAAGAAAACAAACTGAGCAGAAAGAAAATACTTCAATACTTTAGGTCTTGACTTTAAGACATTATCTACATCTTACAGACACAAAATGCAGAGGTTCAGACATGCTAATGACTTGAGTCACACATCAGCTAGTGGCTGCACTGGGATTTGATCCTCCCAAGCCTCCCAGGATATGGATGGTCAGCACATAGCAGCCCCGGGACAGAAGTCAGGTCAAGACCAGCACCTCCATTCTAAACCACCTGAAAAGCCAGTGAAACCAGATGGCATAGATAATGGGCACTATGCTGGGAAGGACGCAGTGCACAACCTCTCTGGGGAACAATATGGCCAAGTCTGTCAAATTATAAACTTACACACCATTATGACTCACCACTTCCAGAAACATATCCTTTGTTCATGGTGTCTAAAAACAGCAAACTTTAAGGCCTCATGGTAAATTAAAGGCATTATAGTCCAATCATGTTGTGGAATATTATGTGGCAGATAAAAAGGGAATGGAAAACAATTATATGTGTGTGTATGTGTGTGTGTGTGTATATATATATATATATATATATATATATATATATATATATATGCACGTTTTATATATGCACACATACACAGATATGTTTTATACACACACATGTATGCCTATGTATGGCAAGAGAAATTTCTGGAAGGCGTTCACAAAATTGCTAGTACTATGTTTGCCTCCAGGGAGAAGGAATCTAGATATTTTTCAATCTACAGACATAGTATGTTAAACTAATTTATAAAACCAGGGCCCTGCCTTTTGGCACTTCCCTTGAGGGGTGCTTACAGGGACCTTTTCACTTATCCTTGGCTCAGGTGACCCCTTAGTGAGCCCTGAAAATCCCCTGCTCCCATCTTCACCCAGCTTTGCCCCAGCCCAGAGACAATCTCTGTCTGGCTCCCATTGGGGAGGGTCAGACTTTAGTTTGATGTTCTAGCCCTTTATGAGCTGCTCAGATCTCCTTGTGTCCCCTCCTCTTGGGGCTCCATCTCCCCAAGTCCATGCTCGGGGCCTCCATACCTCAGCTCTTTGCACCTTGGTTCTGAGTCTCTAATGCCTTTTCTCCTCCCCCAGGTGCAGCTGTTAAAATATGCCTATCATTCCATTCAACTCTACCTTCGCCAAGATGCCAGAAGTCAGATCACCTGCTCAGGTCACTTTCTGCATATTCATTCAACACATAAGTACAGGACACTTATAAGCCAAGCACTGGTGAAGAGCAGATACAGGGAGACACGTCAGGCACCGTCCTGTTCTTGGGGAGGACCTCCGGTCAGCTGGGAAAACAAGCCTAGTCTTCTGATAAGTGACATAAGAAGCATCACAGTACAGAGGATAAGGGCACTGACTATGTGTCATGCTTGCAGGTTTTGAGTCCTGGGTCTATTACTCAAGCTGTGTGATTGTAGGCTAGTTGCTTTACCTCTCTGTGCCTCCATGCCCTTATCTGTAAAATGGAGATAATAAGAAAAGCAACATCTGTGAATCAGATGAGTTAGTTTATGCGGAGGGCTTAGGACACAGTTTGGCACATGATAAATGACAATAATTATGTCAGTTATTATTACAATTTAAAGGTGCTGTGGAACTCCGAGAGGAAAATTTCATAGGATTACATTTTTTCTTTTGTCCTTCAGATGGAACCCAGGACAAAACCCAGGGGTGTTCTACCATTGAGTTATATAACCAACTTTACTATTTTGAGACAGGGCCTCAGTAAGTTGCCTAGGCTGGCCTTAAACTTGGGATCCCCTCTTCAGACTCCCAAGTCGCTTGGACTACAGGCACATGCCACTCCACCCGACTTGGCATTAGGAAACGTTAGAGGGGATGGTCTAGGCAATCGCAGGCAGTGTGCAGCCAGTGGAGTTTGAGTGGACGGCAGTCTCTCTCCTCGTCACTTCCATGTGCCTCTCCCATCTCTTACTGGGAGGTGTCTTTAGGGCACAAGGATGAGTTGCTGGTAGCGCTCAATGGTACAGCACTTGTCTAGTATGTGCAAGGCTCTGGGTTTTATCCCCAACACTATAAAATAAAATAAAATAAAATAAATAAAATAAAACAAAACAAAATATGTGGCTGAGCGAGCTTCTCCCAATCTTACCTTCTTCATTCATTCCACACCTTTTTTATTTTTTTGGTGAAGACTGAACCCAGGGCCTCGTGCATGCTAAGTGGCCCACTGTCACGGAGCTACTCGCCCAAACCTCATAACCATGGTTTATGTAATATTTTTCTCAGAGCCCATTATACTTTTTAAAATGAAATAAATTTCTTAAAAGCCAACTTTGAACCACATCTGTAAGTGAAAAAAAAAAAAAAAAAAAAAAACAAAACAGAAAAATCCCAAGTAGCAAAAATTAAATATAACAAAGACAATGTTAGTGACTTGTAGCTGGCTAAGGCCATCTGAGTCCGAGCTCTCTGCTCTCTCCAAGTACTAGCGAGCACAGACAGGAGTTAATGACACTGGCACTGAACTGGGACTTTCTCTATGGGAATGTTGGCAGGATGGGAAAACACTGGAAAGCTAGTTCTCTCCTCTTGTACCCAGTACCTCCGGAACCATCTTGGACACCATCTGACCTGAAAACGCCCCCACACTCCAAGAGAATCAATGTCAATGGCTTGATGTGGCGCCGGTTTTATTTAGAGGCAGACTTTCCGAGGCTGAGGTCCACCCCAGGCTGCCACCCCAGGTGGGTATTGTTCCTCCACTCAGCTGAGTCACGCCCCTGGGAGGGAGGTTTCTGGGAAATGCCTTTTGTGTCTTCCCCTCACTGTTTACTTGGCATCCTGGGCTGGTGATCAATAAAGGATTAGATGTAAAAACAAAGCAAACCTGCTTGCCAGTTAAATAGTGTCATTTCCAGGGAAAGGTCCCAACCCTGGAATAAACCAGGTTTCAAGTGAGAATCTGAATTAATTCTGACAACATAATCCAGCGCAGGATTTGCCTTCAGGCAAGGAGTTTTTTCTGTCAACTCCACTAAGGATAGAAAGAGAGCTGGGGAGAGGAAGGAGCTTTATTTTCAAGCCAGTGAAACCTTATTATTATTGCTGTTACTATTATTATGCACTAAGCTGCCTTTTTTTTTTTTTTTTTTTGGTGTTGGGACTTGAACCCAAGGGCACTTAGCCACTGAGCCACATGCCGAGTCCTTTTTTATATTTTCAAACAGGGTCTTGCTAAGCACTTAGGGACTCACTGAGTTGCTGAGACTGGCCGAGACTTGCCATGCTCCGGCCTCCAGAGCCACTGGGGTTACGGTGTGCGCCCGCCAGGCTGCACCAAGCTTCTTTGAGGTGAACAGAAAATGGAAATGAGAGCTCCATTCTTCCTTCCTTCCTCCCTCTGCCCTTTCTCTCCTCTCCTACCCCCTAGAGCAGCTATGATGCTTCAGGACATTGTTTCCCAGCCTTATCCATTTCTGCCTTATCATAACCCATCTCTACTGGTACTTACTTATAAAAATTTTAATTGCCTTTGTTTACTTCTGTAAAGATTTGGTCTAGTTGCATATTTCCACCCTCATGTATATGGAGAGACATTAGTGGATTCAGTTCCCGCAACTCTTAAGTCACCTCCTTAAGGTGCGCTTGGTGGGACCTGGGGGGCACGCTAGGGTTCTTCTGTACTGTCGGGTGGCTGAGGAGCCGAGATCCTCTACCCACCAATGTTGCTTCTGACCTGCCTCCTTGGAGACTGCTTTAGCAGGTCTGGGATTCCATATGTCTTATTTTTCTTTCTTTTTATGGTTCTGGGAATCAAATTCAAAGCTTCATGAACACTGGGCAGAAGCTCTGTCACTGGGCTAACCTATAGCCCCACGGGATTCAGCATGTCTAACAAGTTCCCCCAAGTGAGGCCACCTGCGGGTCCTATGACCACAATTTAAGAGGCCCTGAGCCACTGGCATTAAACCCACCTATAGGTGCTTGCCAAAAAAAAAAAAAATGCAGATTCCTGGACACTACCCACCAGTCACTTGGATTCTTCAGGCAAGGGTGGCTCTTGGAATTTGCCTTATCCAGCAGCACTCCAAGGAAGCTCTGGACACTGCAGTAGCACCTGTAATGTGGAAGTGAGGTATGGGAGTAAGAAAATCTGCCTTGAGGTCACTCTGCAAGTCAGGGAAGCTCCCTGTGGTTTGGGCCCTAAACTCTCCAGCAGCCAGGGATCCTCTACCTCCTCATCTGCCCTCAGTGTGAGCAAATCCTGCTGGCCTGTCCCTCAAAACACACAGGTAACTTTTAAAAGACTCCAGTAAACAAGCAGATTTGGGAATGGGAGAGTGATGGAATCAGACTGGTAAAATATTGATAATTATTAAAAATGTGAGTTCAGTTTATCACTCACAATGTTTGTGTGTATGTGAATTTTCCCACAATAAATATTTTTATTTATCTTTGTGTGTGGTACTGGGGATCAACTCCATGGGTACCATACTACTGAGCTACACCTCCATTGATTTTTAATTTCGAGACAGGGTCTGAGTTGCCCAAACTGGCCTAGAACTTGAGATCTTCCTGCCTCAGCCTCCCAAGTCACAAGATTTTAGGTATATGCCACTATGCCCTGCACCTTAACACATATTTCAAATAAAGAAAAATCTTTACAAATAAAAATATTTTTCAAATTCCAATAGTGAGAAACTGGGAACATATTAAGGTCTCATAATAGGAAAATGGTGAACTTGGGCTGGGATTGTGGCTCAGCAGTAGAGTGCTCACTTAGCACGTGTGAAGCCCTGAGTTCGATCCTCAGGACCACATAAAAATAAACAAACAAAATAAAGATATTGTGTCCAACTACAACTAAAAAATAAATTAAAAAAAAAAAAGGAAATGGTGAACTATGGAGAACCTCTCAATGGAAGTTGATATAATTAATTTATTCAGGCTATGAACAGGGAAAATATGATATACTATTGAGTAAAAAAAAAGACATTAAATTGTATATATTGCATGATTAAAACTATGCAGATTCATTTCTTCAAAAACTGAATTATAAAAAATAATTTTATACATTCAGAATCTGACCATTTCCTACCTCCTTCAATGCAATGGCCTTTGCCTCCTGGGAGAAGAGGGTGCTGGGGTTCCAGTTCAGGGGGGAAGAGCCCCTCGCCTCTCCCCTGCACCTGGGACCCAGGCCCACACCAGTCTCTGCTTTCACCCTTCCCCTCCCCATGCCAGTTCCAAGGGACCTTCAAGAGTGTAGATCAGATCATATCCTCTTCTGTCTCCAAGCCTGCAGAGGCTCTTATCTCTCCAATTAAAGCCAAGTCCAGGCCAAGGTGCAGACCTCTGGCTATGGGAGTGGCACTGGATTGCTGCAGCCACTCAGCTACACCTACTGACCTCCTCCTCGTGGCTCTTCAGGAGCCTGTGTCCCTATAGGGCCTTGATACATGCCATTTCCTCTGCTGGGAATATGCTGCCTCCAGGTATCTGGACACCTGTGTGCCTCCCCTCCTTTGTCAGCTATTCTTGTCTAAAACATCTTTCCCACTGCACCCCTAAATCCTTTATTTTTCTTCATAGCACTTACCAGTATCTCCCAATATGCTCACTATGTCTTCTACTTTCTTGAATGCAAATTCTTTGAGAAAAAAAGACTATGTTGGTTTCTCGCTGCACCATTGTTCCTAGCACAGGGCCTGGAACATAGTGGGTGCTCAGAAAACATGATGAATGAGAATGTCAAACTAAATAACTACCAGAGGAACCTGTCGACTTCACATGGACTTTGTTTCTTGGGTGACCTGGCAAATCCGCAGTAAGTGCCCATTGGAAATCCAAGTGGCTGATCTTTTCCAGCAGAGGTCCCCACGGCACACACAGGGTAAAGTGCATTTGTGAACCGACGGCAGTGGAACATGGTGGTGGCTAACAGAACTGGCTCTAGGGGTCAAATTTTGGCTTAATGCCATCAGCTGTGCAGCATTGGAGAAATAATGAGAATTCTCTGAGCGTTCATTTTTTTCCCTTATCCAGAAAGACAGGGATAGTACTAGTTCTTACTTCCCAGGGCTGGGATGGGAACTAAACAGGAGAATGCCCATAAAGCACTTGGCAAGCATGCTGCCTGGCACAGAGGAGGTGTGCACAAGAAGCAGCCCAGTTAATCCAAAGCTACGTGTGCCCCCGCATCTCTCAAGTTCAGTGTCTCTCATGCATATATGCTTTAACTGATCTGAGCCTCTCAACAACCCGTTGATTTTACCATTTTTTCACAGGGTAGGAACCTGGGTCAAAGAATAAAGCAAGTGCCCAAAGGCCAGAGCTGAGACGGCCAAGGGCTCCAGCACCTTTGCCTCCAGAGCACCAGTCAGATTACTGCTGACGCCCATCTGTGGATTCGGATGGCCCACTCTAGCTGACTCTAGAGCTGTGCCTGGTGTGAGGCTGTGAACAGCAGATGAGAATGAACAGCAGAGTCAGAAACGGAACTGGCCAGCAAGCCACGGCATCTCAACAACCTGCTGGAGGCCGAGCATGCACAGGCTCCCTTGTCTGCACCCTTTCCTCTGGGTGAGGCTTGAGAGCAAGTCTGGAAAGATAAGCCATTTACCAGGGTTTAAAACACCTGACTGTTTTTCCAGGAGGGAAAACTACAAAAGCCTTCTGTAAAGTCAGGCAGCAATTCTACACAGCAAATGCTGACTTGGGTGTTAGAGATCCTCCTGTAATCTCTGACCCCTGACCCAGTGTGCCCAGGACCTAAAGGCAATCAGGGGAGAAGCCCCTGCATGGAGCTCTGGGCCACCTATCCAGGATCAGAGGCCACAGGTGTTGCTGTGGCATTTTAGAACTACGAGGTCAAAAAAATCACAGGCTCTCAGGAGTCATGTACTGTGGAAAGTGCAGCCTCTAGAGACAAAGAACCTCATGACCATAACCCCTTGCATCTCATGGCTTGGGCAGAGATTACATTCAATGGGAAGGGGCAAAGGTTGCTTCTAAACTGGGAATTCCAATGGTTTCTGGATCCTGGGCACCTTCTATGTGCCAGATGCTCCTTTGTGAAGGCTTTGTGTGAGAGCTCCCAAGCCACAGGGCGGGGGTCAGGGGAAGAACAAGCTTTGGACATCAACCCAAATTCTACCCACAGGCCCTTTGAGAGGGCAGCCTTCAGAGGATCCTGTTAGGCCCACGAGCCCTGACCCCAGTGATGCACTGAGGTCCCCATGGTGCCAGGTTTGCAGCAGCCACCAACCATCAATTATGAGAGAAATACCATGATCATCAGGCTTGCTGGTGTGCTCTGAGCCGGGAACGTGCTGGGTGAGAGGCAGCAGCCCCCAGAGCACTGCAGAGTGCCTGACTGTTTACTCCCATTTGCAGTGTTTCTGATAGAGGAGCATACACACACCCCAATCCTGGACATGGCCTAGGAGGTGGGGATGACACTGGCTCTGGTTGGGCAGTGGAGATGGGTCTGAGGGCCACTTTGGGGGATACTTGGAAAAGTGGCCAAAAGACCCACCCCAGCCCTGGATCCATCCACTTGCTGTTAAGGTCACTTTAGGTATCTATGCTAATGGATTTCACTGACTTTTAAAAATAAAGGAGAGTCCTAGGGTGGCCATGACCTTGTATCAAAACTATAAAAATCCCCTTCTATAAAAAAATCTCTCAGCTTCCCAGGCTGCTCATCCCAGGGAGAACAAAGGAGAGAGGTTTGACTGCTCTACCTTTGTGAGAAATTCCCAGAGAATGGGGAAACACAGAGGCGGGAGATGCCTCCCTGATACGGTTCTCCAGCTCTGGCAGGCAAAAAGAGGAGCTTGCAGTCCTGAGAGCACCTCTGGCTGCCAGGCCTGGCTGAAAGGATCAGCTGTGACTGGTGACATTCTCCAGCCAGGATCAGAATTCATCCCGCAGCTGAGGGGGCCTGTCCATGCCAAAGAAGGACGACTGCTTTCCCTGGAGGTCTCGCTCCCGCTTCACAAAGGCAGTGAAGGAGGAGACACAGTTGCCAATAAAGTGGTCAGCTCTGCCGAGGATGTACAGGTCGATCTGGGCCACCTCGGGCTGCAGACTCACCACCTTCACCTGCAGAAGGAAGGCAGAGAGTATCAATCTGGTGGCTGCCAGCCACAGGCTCGACCGCCTTCCCTAGGACTGAGGTTGCAAAGAAAAGGAGGAATGGAGAGGATGAAGACCTGGGGTCGGTGTGAGAGGAGTGCAGCCCAGCTGCCTTCTAGGTGCCTGTGTCCTCCTCCAGGCCCTCCAGCCTCAGCTCGGAATGCCCCACTCTGGGTGCCTCTGCCCAGAACGCCCTTTTCCTCACCAGGGCTGGGAGCTCTGTGGAGTGTGTGCTTAGCATGCCCAAGGCCCGAGCTTCCATCTCCAGCATCAAAAGAGGGAAAAGAAAACCCTGAGCAAACTCTCAAGGCTCAGCTCATATTCTGCCTTCCTCATGAAGTCCTGGCCTGATGGGCTTCCCTCACCAAATCCTGGCTCCAAGAAGACAGTGCCCACCCATTCAGCTCTGCTGCGTGGATGCCTCTCTCCACATACTAACTCCAAGCCCCAAGTTCTGTTCAATCTATGCCCAAGATTCTCCCCAAAGATGGATCCTTCCTGTGAGGAGCTGCCCCATGCTCAGCCCAGCCATGACCATCCGCTGCTTGATCCACTACAACAGCCTCCTCACTGCCCCTCACTGCCTCTCCTGACCTGCTCATCACAGAACAGCTGAAGGAAATTTTAAAGATGCCCCTGCCCCTGCCCTTCCCCACATAATAGGTGCCCTATTGCCTTTCACAAAGGTGCCCCACATCACTGTACTCAGATCACCTTTCAGACTGTCCCTGACATCCCTTGAAATCTAGCAGCCAGCAGCCAGCCAGGCTCCCTCCCTCCCCTTCTAAGGACCTTTCTCTGTCTGGGGTATACCCTCTTTTTTTCTCTTCTAGTATTAGGAACTGAACTCAGGAATGCTTACCACTGAATTACCTCCCTTGTCCTTTTTTTTTTTTTTTTTTTTTGGTGGTGCTGGGGATTGAACCCAGGGCCGTGTGCATGCGAGGTAAGCACTCTGCCAATGGAGCTATATCCCCAGCGTCCCCAGTCCTTTTTGAGTCAGGGTCTTGCCAAGTTGCCCAGGCTGGTCTTAATATTTTGATCCTCCTGTCTGAGACACAGCCTCCTGAGAAGCGGGGGTTATAGGCCACTGTGCAAGGCCAGGGTATTAGCTTCTACTTACCCTTTACTTCTCAGCTCAAGTGGCAGCTCCCTAGGGAAGCTCTCTCCATGGGCCAGGGCCATTTACTCTGGGCTCTTACAGAACCCCTTGGCTCTGCTTTGGAGCACATATCTCAGTTTGTGACTTTCATTCCTTAGTGATTCTCTGATTGATACTGTGTCCTGCACCTGACTAGGGCCGGAGCTGTGTCAGCTGGCTTTCCACTGCTGTGCTGGCCAGGCTCAGCCACAGCCTACCTCAAATGATAGAAGGAAATGCCCACCCACCAGCACCCCCCACCCCACATACAGTTCTCTACCTGGGTCTAAATTGTGAGCCCTGGAGGGCAGGAGCACATCTTAACATCAGTATCCCTGCCTGAGCACTGGCCCAGCTTAATGGAGGGCAAAGGTTAAGTCAGAAGCAAGACAAGGATCTGAGCCCATGGAGAAGAGGGCTGAGGAGTGGGGAAGAAATGAGAAGACTGGCACAGGAACCAGAAATAGAAAACAGCAAAAGGCTCAAGGCGCAACAAACGCATCAACTCTAAAGCTCACAAAAAACTCCCTGGGACTCTCCAAATGCTTCAACTTAGTACAGAGGCGAGGGGGTGAGGGCTGAGATGGGCTGAAAGTGCTTTGCTGTTCCACTGAGATTTTTGATGTAACAAAAGCCATCATCTCACTATGGGGATTGTAGCAAAGAAATAATACCAGTTTAATCATGGCCAAAATCCCCCGAACAATTCCACCTACACCTGAAACTTACCCATTCTGTGTCATGGCTGCTATAATTAGCTCTGGGACCTCTTGGGTAAATTCTGTCCCTTCTTGGGACTTGGGTTTCCTCAGCCACAAAACAGAGGGGCAGGGTGAGAGGACGCCTAATGTCTCCCAGCTCTGATCTTCTGTTAAAAGGGGGCTAGGAGAACAAAATGTACTGACCCAGCACTTCCTCCACGGCTAGAACTTCCTGTCTGTGTCATGGTTAAAAAAAAGGAGCCTGCTCAAAGAAAGCCCATGGCTCCCAACATCTGCCTCTTAGGGTCTACCCAGCATTTACTGTTTTCGTTCATTTAACGTCTTATTTTTTTATTTTAAAAATACTTTTAATTGTAGATGGACACAATACCTTTATTTTGTTTATTAATTTTTTTTTTATGTGGCTCTGGGGATCAAACCCAGTACCTCACGTGTGCTAGGCAAGTGCTCTACCACTGAGCCGCAACCCCAGCCCCCCAGTTAACGTCTTATTGAATGTTTACTATAATTCAGCTATTTTACCGATCCATACTTTCCCATGACCAGACTCTTCACTGCTACAGCAGGCATTTACCAGACACATTCTGCTACTTATGCACATATTTCCTTAAATATACACAGCTTCCTTCAACATTCACTAAGCACAAAAGAGCTTTCCTTTATTTATCAACCAACTATTTTCTATTATTAATGAGAGCTAACTTTATTATTATTATCATCACTTTTTGGTGGTATCGGGGGTTGAACCCAGGGCTTCATGCAAGTTAGGCAAGTGCTTTACCACTGAGCCACATCCCCAGCCCCTTTTTATTTTTGTTTTATTTTGTGACAGAGTCTCACTAGGTTGCTCAGGCTGGCTTCACACTTGGACTCCTCCTGCTTCCTGAGTAGTGGGGATTCTGATGGTGTGCCACTGCATCTGGCAATAGCCAACTATATTAAGTACTTATTTTGTAGTGGGAAACTTTTTCCTTCTACCTGATCTTTACATTTGTCCTATGAGACAGGTGCTATCAGTCCTATTTTATAGATTCGGAAACAGAAACTCAGAGAGGTCAAATAATGCTTGTGAGGCTGCTCAGTGAGTTAAATCCAATTCTTTGGCTCCAGAGTCTATGCCTTTAACCCCTCTGCTGTCCTGGATCTCTTCCCAGGACCCACTCTATGTTCTAGATACTGGTGGCAATAAGGCAGGGTCTCAGCCCCCAGAGATCAAAGATATTGGGGAATACAAGAGTAGGGTTCAGCTCAGCCTTCAAGAAATCCACAATTCCTAGAAAGAAATACAACACATTTCCACACTAGTCTCAGACAGTCTAGAAAGTGCCATGAATACTCCCAGCAAGAACCCACAAGCTACAAGAGGGAAAGAATCTGCAGAGGAGATGTTCAAGCTGGGGTTGGAGGGAAGGGTAGGAATGGAGAGGAATGAGTGTTTAGGCAAGAGGCTGGTGGGGGGAGAACATGAAGCACAACATGGCAGCAGGGGGACAGGCTGGCACTTTCCCCCATTCCCTCTTGCCACACTCCCTCGGGGCCCATGCATACCTTCTCTTTGAAAAGCTGCTGGATCTCAGGCACATAACTCTCAGAGTCAGTGGCAATGTAGACTGACCGGGCGTTCAGCGCGCTCACCCAGAGCTTCACGGCCCGCCTAATTTCCTTCAGGTCCGGCAGGCACATGGTCATGGTCAGGGGGGCTGCTGTACTGCGGCTGTAGCCCACACACTGTGGAGAGGCCATGAAGTGCGAGCCTGCAGTACCGTCCTTCAGCATGGCGCATGCGTTCTTCTGTAGGAGGGGTGGGGGCAGAGTTAGACAGCAGCAAGAATTGGTAAGTAGAAAAGGACAAGCAGGAGGAGCCCAGCTGCACATTTTTTGGTATGCGGGCTGAGAATGGACTCAGGGCCTTGTGCATGCTGAGCACATGCTAGACCACTAAGCTACACCCCCAGCCCCCCAACTGTTTTTTAAAAGCATGAAGGGAAGAGGGAAATGAATCATGGGAATAACAGTGATTATTTCTGAATGGTGGGATCCTGGTGTTGTAAAAACTTTTTTCTTAGTCTTAAGGGACATGGGGTAGAATTGTGAAGAGTGGTGTTGATAAGGGACAGGTTTATCTGATTCCTTACTTCAGTGGAAACACTTCTGATAGCTGTCAGGAGGTAACAATGTTTGCTGTGGATTCCAGAGATAGCCTTTATCAAGTTAAGGTGGGCCCGTCCATTCTATTCTTGGCTGGTTATGAGTTTTTGTTTTTAATCATGAATGAGTGTTGACTTTCTTTTATCAAATGCTTTATTATCCTCCACTGAGATCATCATGATTTTTTTTCTTTGGGTGTTAAAACCAACATTTTACCGCTTTTGGTGAGGCTGGTTTTGAACTCACAATCCTCCTGTCTCAGCAATTTCATCGCATTCCTGGGATAGATTTTATTTGTATGTTACTTGGCTTTACCTGCTGATATTTTACTTAGAATATGTGCACCTATGTTGATTAGTGAGAATGCCTATAATTTTCCAAGTTGATCTTATCTGAATTTGGTATTAGTGTTATGCTAGCTTAAAAAAAAAAAAAGCATCTTTTATCTTTTTTTATCATTTTACATTCTAGGAAAGCACAGACAGGAGCTGTTCCTTGAATGTTTGGCTGAAACCACTCATAAAATATTCTGGCCCCAGGGCTAGGACTGTGGCTCAGTGGCAGAGCACTTGCCTAGCATGGGTGAGGCACTGGGTTCTATCCTTAGCACCACATACAAAAATAAGCAAAGAAAATAAAGGCATGCTGTCCATCTACAACTACAAAAAAAAAAAAAAAAAAATGTGGCCTGGCTCCTTTTCCTTGTGGAAGCAGGTCAGGGAGAGAGACTAGTGGTAAGTGAGATTACCTCATCAACCGAAAAAGAATGAGTTTTAATATAATTCCTACACGTTTTGGTATTTTTCAATTTTCAACAATGAGCACTTCTAACATATCTATATATCGTATCTCCTTATGTAAATTTAAGCAGACTGTCAATACTGGTTCTGTGATTTTCACATGGAGGGTAATTTGATGAGTTTCCATACATTTAAGCAGCCTCCAAATTCTGGGAGGATGACATCTTCATTTCCTGGGAGCCCCCCTCTGCACCAAGTCCATAGCTGTTTTTCAACAAGGAGTCCACTAGCTAACCACCTCATGGGGACAGAGGAACCCTAGGTGAGGGTCTCTCAACCTGCTCCTGACCTGGACTCTGGCTTGATACTTCAGTTTATCCATCAACAAAACAAGGATACAAACAGCAGCTGTTAAAATGAGAGCTGGCTCTAGACTGCTCCAGAGTCACACTTCTGATGGGTGCTGTAGCGGGATCATGGGACACAATTCCATAGACTTGGTCAAGTGAGCTCTCTCTGCCCTGTCTTGGACTTGGGGTCAATTCCTATAGATATGGCTGCTCAGCTCAGGCACATGTCAAGTGAGCCAGGGAAGGGAAGGGGAAGTTACCCAGTCAGAGCCAATGCGCAGATGAATGCCCACATAGGGCCGGATGAGGTGGGCACGGATCTGGGCCTCTCCCATCTTCACCATCTCATCTGACCACACCACGTACTTCTGGAGTGACTTGTGTTCCTCCAGGACAGGGAACTGGGCTGGGGCCCCTGGCAGGGCGAGCACAGGATGTTCCTTTGCTGAAAATCTAGACGGGATGAGGAAAAGTCAGACAGAAAGTGCATAGAGAGCCTGCCTGTCACCTCCACGGAGAAAAAGATGGTATTGCACCATGCCCCAGAGACCCTGCGGAGGCCCCGTACCATGCAAGAAGCACAAGAGGTTGTGAAATCCCAACGGGTTGATAAGAAACTACAGTGGTGGCAATAGGCACAATATGCAATACTGTCCCGCCGCACGGAATTTACAACCCTCTTTGCTTGTTTAACAATTAAAAATTTACAGTAGAGCATTCCAGCCTTTTATATGTCATGCTGGCTTCCAATCTGTGGTGCAGTAATTCACTCCAGGGTGGGGTGTCTGGACCAAGCCTTTGCCCTTTTACCCACACGGCGGGACTGAGACGTGCAGCTGCTTACAGAGGCAACGGCTGGGTCACACTCACAGGGACTGTGTACACTGGATTAGATCATTCATTCAACACTTTTCAAATACTTATTGATTGCTTACTATGTGTTGAGACCCAGAAAGAGAGGCATGGTCCCTGCCCTCATGGGATGTACAAAAGGTCCCAGATGTCCCCATCACAACCTCCCAGGGCTCTCTTTCCCCATTTACACCATATGTGTTTTGCAATTTTTCACATCTGTCTTTTCTGTTGGACCCAGGCCTGTGGAGACAGTGCCTCTGATGCGCTTTGCAGAGCACCTGGCAAAGATAAGAGCTTAGTAAGCACATGCTGACTGACTGAATGAGGAGCAACCTATGTTCCCTCCTCAGCTAAACCCAGACTCCATCCCAGCCACATGAGACAGCTTGCTGTTCCATGAGCTGACAGCACATTTTCAAACTCCAGATCTTTATATACTGCTTCATCTTCCTGGACTACCTGCCTCTGCCAGCAAAACCCTTTTCTTAACATTAGGAAATAGGCACAGCCACTCTGGAAAATAGTTTGGCAGTTAGTTTCTTATAAAACTAGACATGCAATTACCACAGGACCCAGCAATGGCACTCTTTGGCATTTATGACAAGGAAATAAAAGCTTATTTTCATACACGAACCTCTACACTAATATTCACAGCAGCTTTATTTATAACAGTCCCAAACTGGAAACCACCCAGATGTCGATCAACAAGTAAATGGTTCAACAAACTGGCACATCTGTACCATGGAATACTACTGCAATAAAAAGGTGTCAACTATCAACACAGGCGACAACTTGGATGGCTCTCCAAGGGAATTATCCCAAGTGAAAAGAGCCAATCCCAAAGGTAACACACTATATGATTTCATTGATATAATAATGAAATGACAAAACAGAGTAGAGAACCAAAACAGAAGAGATTAGCGGTTGCCAGGGGTTAGTGATGGTGTGTGTTTGGGGAGGTAGGCGTGGTTATAAGTTGACAATACAAGGATCCTTGCGGTGATGGAACCAGTCAGTATCTTAACTGTGGTGGTGGATAATATGAACCTACACATGGGATAAAATTGCACAGACCACACACACACAGAGGTGAGTACAAGTAAAACAGGAAATCTAAGTAAGAGAGGTGGATTGTTATCAATGTCAGTATCCTGCACTCCAGTTTTTTTTTTTTTTTTTTGTTATCAAGGACTGAAGTCAGGGGCTCTCAACCACTGCACCATTTTGTATTTTATTTAGAGACAGGGTCTCACCGAGTTGCTTAATGCCTCGCTTTTGCTGAGGCTGGCTTTGAACTCACAATCTTCCTGTCTCAGCCTCCCAAGCCGCTGGGATTACAGGCATGCACCACTGTACCTGGCTTGCACCATAATTTTATAAGATGTTATCACTGAGGAAAAGAGGAAAGGGTACATGAGACCTCTATATTATTTCATACAACTGCATGTGAATCTACAATTACCTCAACAAAATCTTCAAATAAAATTTTGAAATATTTCAAACCTTAAAGCAAATACAGAAAATAGCAATCCACATACCTATGACCTATATCAACAGAAACTAAAACTTTGCTTTGCTTCAGATTAAAAAAATACCCACCTAAACAAAAGCCCTATCCTAACATATTTCCCTTTCCCTCCCTTCCCAGAAGATAATGTGTTATTATGCCTGATTATACTTATCTATCTATCTTCCTACCCATGACTTAGTTTCCTTATCTGTAATAGAGCTGATAACAGTTCCTACTTCATAAGGCTGTCATTTGTGTGTGTGTGTGTGTGGTACTGAGGACTGAACCAAGGGGTTCACTGAGCTACATCACCAGCCCTACTCCCCCCACCCCCTTTATTTTGCAGTCCTGAGATGGAACCCAGGGCTTTGCACATGCTAGGCAAGTGCTCTACCACTGAGCTACATGCCCAACTCCCAGACCTTTTTAGGGCCTTACTGCGTCTTATTAAGTAATAGGCCATGTTCTAATTGCTCATGAAATTTCCATAACAGCCCTGTGAGGTAAGTTTTACTATTTTTTCTTTGGCAGATGAGGAAACTGAGGCACAAAGAGGTTATATAACGTGCAAAAGTCAAATAGCTAAGAATTGGTGGAGCTGGGATTTGAGTCTAAACAACCTCCTTCAAAACCTATGTTCTTAACTCCTAAGACTTCACTCCCTTCTCCCCACCCAGTCCAATGAGCATCTCAACATTTGAGTTTGTGACTTATTCTTCTGATTCTCAGGCCCTAGCACAGGCCTCAACACACAGTAGTTGCCATAAATACTTTCTGAATGAATGAATGAATGAATGAGAGAGTCAGTGATCTTATTAGAAAGACCAAGTCAGGCTGTCAGGAGTTGAAGGAGGAATATATTAATATTAATATACTAGCTAAAGTCCTGGCCCATATTAGGTCCTCAGATTAATATCTGAGGGTCAGGATTTTAGCTAAACTCCTTTCAGATGTCACCATAAAGAATTTTTTTTAAATATTTATTTTTTAGTTGTAGTTGGACACAATATCTTTATTTTATTTATTTATTTTTATATGGTGCTGAGGATCGAACCCAGGGCCTCGCACATGTTAGGTGAGCGCTCTACCACTGAGCCACAACCCCAGCCCCCACCTCAAAGAACTTTGAAAGAAAAGCAAGCATTTTCTAATCTTCCAGGGGCCTGGATCATTAGGATAAAATCACAATTTGAGCTGTCCCCGATCTCTTGGGAAAATCCTGCAACTAACCCTTGAATGTCTGACCCCTCTACCTGGACCAGCACAGAGTTGCCCAAGTGGGACAATATCAGCTCTGACCCAACATGGAGCAAGAAACTAAGATTGATTTGATTATTTGCTCTGAGGTCAGAGGATGTTGTCAGGAAAGCAAGCAGGAAGTAAGGTCTTGACTAGAAAGAAAATTTGACCATTCCACATGCCATGCCCCCTGATTATTGGCCCTAGGTCAGCCCTTAGCCTGGTCACTATCCAGCAGAAGGCAGCTGGCTCTAGGGCTCACTTCACTACTTCACCCATGTTGCTAAGATTCTCCAACAGGTCGGGGTTCCTCTCTGCACAGCATCCATTGAGCATACCTTTGTGGCTGGACATCATGCTGAGTGCAGAGGACACAGGGACATTAGAATGTCAGGGCCAAGGGCTGGGGATGTGGCTCAAGCAGTGGCACACTCGCCTGGCTTAAAAAAAAAAAAAAAATATTGGGGTTCTCTTTCTCTCTCTCTTAAAAAAAAAAAGAATATCAGGGCCTTGCTTTTGATGTCCCTGCCAGAAAGGACTACCTTCTTTCCAGCTCTTTGCAAAGCTGGCTCCCTCTCATCCTTCAGGTCTCAGTCTGATTTCACCTGTTTATGTCCTCTTGGGGAGGGTGCAGGCTGGGAGAATGACATATTATGTATCTTTATAAGAACGGTTCAACATGGTGGCCCATAGCCTCCCAACAGGAAATGTACAATAAATACCTGCTGAATTAAAGCTCTGCTCTGGTATTCATAGACTCAGAACCAGCAGAGCTGAAAAGAACCTCAGAAATCACTTGGTGGGAGAGAATTATCTGTCTTCTTTTCCTATAATCCAACTTTCAGCTAGATACTTGGAAGCTCAAAATAAAGACATTTCTCCAAATTTCTTGCAGCGAGGGATGGCTTATGGGTCTTTGTACTAGTCAGTGAGATGTAAACAAAAGAGTTACAATGAATTTTTAGGAAGGCTCCTTAAAAAGGCGAGGCTATCTGGATGCAATGGTGCAGGCATGTAGTCCCAGCTACTCAAGAGGCTGAGGCAAGAGGATTGCTTGATCTTAAGAGTTCAAAGCCAGCACAGGTAACACAGTCCCTCTTTGGTGGGGTTGGGAGGAGGGCAGGGCTTTGCCTTTCTTCTGCCCCTTTTGACCTCCAAGTTGCCTGGAATATGATGTGTGATGGCCAGAGCTTCATCTCTCATCTTGGCCCAGGAGGTCATACTGCGGATAAAAGCTAATAGGACAGGGCTGGGGATTTGGCTCAAACGGTAGCGTGCTAGCCTGGCATGCGCAGGGCGCTGGGTTCAATCCTCAGCACCACATAAAAAATAAAATAAAGATGTGTGTCCACCAAAAACTGAAAAATAAATATTTAAAAAAAAAAAAAAAGCTAGTAGGACAAACGAGTAGAAAGACAGGAGCCTTATTCCTGATGCCACTATGGAAGTGCCACCCTGCCCTGGACTGCACATTCCAATACCTCATTTACTTAAGAACAGTAAACTCTATGTTAGTCTGCAGTTATTTTTGGGTTTTCGGTTACATGTACCCTAACTTAAGTTCAATATGCCTTAAATCTGTGGCCCACAAAGTACTTTTACTTTATTTGGAGGCCTGATATACAAGAGAGTTAAGTACTGGTTGAAGGTAGTGGACAGGAGGAACTGAGCCCTTCCAAATTGGTCTCTGGGGGACCCTTCTGGTCCCCACAATGGCTCTGCAGGCAGTTCTCAGGAACTCTGAGGATTGTTTGGAAACCACTGATCTACTTGGTGGGGACTGATCTTGCTCACCCCTTCCTTTTATAGATGGAGCACTGAGGCCAGAAAAGGGCAACAGCTGCCCAGTCATACAATGAGTCCAGGTATAGCTGCACCCTTGGGTTCTACTCTACACTCTACCTTCCATCCCCAAGGACAATTTTTTTTTTTTTTTTTACAGCAAGCGTCTGCTTACAAAATAGTTAAAATAAAATACTTTCTCACCCACTTGTAAAACTGATCATCCACAGGCTCCTAACAATTTGCCTCACAAAGGCCTATAAAGCACTGTACAGTCTGGCCCCTGCTTTCTTATGTGGCAGTTCATCCATCTATCTGTCTATCTATTTCTTTATCAATTATACAGGGGATTGATCCCAGGAGTACCTTACTGCTGAGCTACATCCCCAGCCCATTTTATTTTTTATTTTGAGACAGGATCTCACTAAGTTGCTGAGGGTTTTACTAAAATGCTTCAGCTGGCCTTGAACTTGAGATTCGCCTGTCTCAGTCTCCTGAGTTGCTGGGATTACAAGCATGTACCACCGTGCCTGGCTCTTGTGTGGCAGAATAAAGATAGCCATCAAAACCAGGCATGGTGGTGTGCAGCTATAGTCCCAGGTACTCAGGAGGCTGAAGTGGGAGGATCACTTGAGCCCAAGAGTCCAAAACCAGCCTGGACAATATAGTGAGACACAAGACACTAAGACACCATCTCAAAACAAATAAAACAAATGAGCAAAATAACATTCAAGAAAAAAATGGCCATCAAAACTTTGAATCTCCTCCCATAGGTGAGTTCTATGTTCCTCACAATTTGACAGCAGTGACACTGTGCAGGTTGCCAGGCCAGGCATTAGGGAGCCAGCAGTTTCTACTTTCTGTCTCTTGGGACACTGCCTGAATGCTCCCTCTCAGAAACTAGTTCTCATGCTGTAAAACCTCAGGCCACAGGAGAGATCATGTATACACAGGCTGTGGATGGTCCCAGCTGATCTCCCTGGTAATACCCAGCATCATCACCAGTCATGAGTGAGATGTGGCCACGTAACTGAATCAAGTCTTCAGATGACTTGAGTCATGGCAGCTGACTGCAGCCATAAGAGAACCACATGCAAACACCACCCAGCGAACACAAGAGTCCATCAAGAGATGAATGGTGCCAGGCACCGTGGTGCACGCCTGTAATCCCAGAGGCTCAGGAGCCTGAGGCAGGAGGATTGCAAGTTCAAAGGAAGCCTCAGTTGTGGCTCAGCAGTAGAGCACTCGCCTAGCACGTGCGGGGTGCTGGGTTCGATCCTCAGCACTCATTAAAATAAAATTAAGGTACTGTGTCCAACTAAAATAAAATATTAAAGAAAAAAATAGTAGGTCTCAGTAACTTAGCAAGGTACTAGGTAACTTACTGAGACCCTATCTCAAAGTAAAAAAAAAAAGACACTAAGATGTGGCCTAGTGAAGCACCACTGAGTTCGATCCCTGGTTTAAAAAAAAAAAAAAGAGAGAGAAGAATGGACATGCAAAATGTGTTATATACATACAAGCAATACTACTCAGTCTTAAAAAGACTGAGGTTCTGACATGTGCCACAATACTGATGAACCTTGGAGACGTTTTTCTACATGAAATAAACCAGACACAAAAAGACAAATACTGAATGATTCTACCTATAACAGGTTCACAGAATAGGTGATTTTTTTATTTGTTTGGTTGGTACCAGGGATTGAACCTAAGGGCACTCACTCACTGAGCTACATCCCCAGCCCAATTTTGTATTTTATTTAAAGACAAAGTCTCACTGAGTTGCTTAGTGCCTCACTGTTGCTGAGCTGGCTTTGAATTTGCAATCCTCCTGTCAGCCTCCTGAACTGCTGGGATTACAGGCATGCACCCCACACCTGGCAAATAGGTGAATCTGTAAAGACAGAAAGCAAGTTACCAGGGAGTCTGCTACTTCAACCTTTGTGACCTCAGGCAAGTAACTTCACTCCTCTCTGCTTCCATTTCTTTATGTGTAAAGCACAGATGACAATATATCCTGTAGACTCATGGAAAGATTAAACCCAAGTCAATACATTTGAAGACTTAAGAACAGTACCTGGCACATTTTAAGCATGAAATAAATATTAGCTCTTATTATTTCTTTAAGACTTATATACACAGCCAGGCTCAGTGACACATGCCTATAATCCCAGAAACTCAAGAGGCTAAGCCAGGAGGATCATCCCAAATTCAAGGCCAGCCTAGGCAATTTAGCAAGACTCTGCTTCAAGCTGGGTGTGGTGGCACTTGCTTGTAATCCCAGCAACTCAGGAGGCTGAGGCAAGAGGATTGCAAGTTCAAGGTCAGCCTCAGCAATGTAGAAAGGATCTAAGCAAATTTGTGAGACCTCTTCTCAAAATAAAAAAGTAATGTTGCTCAGTGGTTAAATACTCCTGGATTCAATCTCAAGCAGCACCCTCAAATTCCTCAAAATAAAAAGGGCTGGGGATGTAGTTCAATGGCAGAGTTCCCCAAGTTCAATCCCCACAATGGAGGAAAATTTTTACATACAGATCCTAGAAGCCTACGCAACAGGTCTATGACCTTGAGCACATTATTTAACTTCATCAAGCCAGTTCGGACCTGTAAAATGGAAATTGAGGGCTGGGGATCTGTAGCTCAGTAGCAGTATGTTTGCCTAGCATACGTGAGGTCCTGTGTTCGATCCCTAACATTAAAAATTTTAAAAAGGGGCTGGGGATGTGGCTCAAGCGGTAGCGCGCTCGCCTGGCATGCGTGCGGCCCAGGTTCGATCCTCAGCACCACATACAAAAGATGTTGTGTCCGCCAATAACTAAAAGAAATAAATGTTTAAAAAATTCTCTCTCCTCTCTCTTTAAAAAAAAAAAAAAAAAAAATTTAAAAAGTGGGGGGGACTGATAATAGCCATCTTATAAAATCTCATATAAAAAAGGCACGTGAGAGCTAACTTTGGCTGGCCACTTATTATATGCTATGCATTTTTGCTACGCATTTTCTGTGGTAGGAGAAGATACTGTTACTACTCTTTCCACTAACCCAAGGAAGAAATTGGAGCCAGAGAGCTGGAGTGGCTTTTCCAGAGATTCCTGAGAAGGAGGCTGAGCTGTGTCAGAGCTTTGGATTGTCTTACTCCTGAGCCTGTACTTGTTTTCTACATCTGTCTACCTCTGGCCTACTGAATGCCAAGTGCTATGACTATGCCTGAATTCATATGTTCCTCTCGTCTCCTAACCAGCCTGACTGCTAAGACCAGGCTCTTTCCTGCCATGCCACAGTCCGTACCCTATGTGAGTTATCATCACCAGGACTAGATTACAGCTCCCCAGGGTGGGGGTAGAGGGGAGAGGGTTGGGAGTGCTGGATGCCCATGAGCCCCATGTCCCTCCCTGACCCCACCACTGCTGCCCCTTTATTTTTACACATTACCTGTGGCCTCTAAGTACTGACTCACACATGACAAACGCTCTATAAATATTTCACAGCCTCTGCCTGTGCCCTGCTAACCTATTTTTTCTTAATAGGGCCTACTGGCATACAATTAATAAAGCACATCCAGTAATTATCTGGATGACATCACTTCTCAGTCTGCACCTGAAGCTGTTCTCTAAGAGCTGTTTCCAATTTTCACCTTGTGAAGAGGAAGGCACAGGGGAGTGATTCTCACGCCCGGAGGAGGAAATCGAGATGCATGTGACTGCACAATGTTCTTTTTATGACATCCCTTATCAGCCAATAAACTCTTGCTCAACTTGTGGCAGGTCAATGTCCCACCGTGTCAGGCTTTGAGATGGGAACAGATCACACAGAATCACAAGTTCAACAGACAGAGTGCCTACACCTTTCATCTCACACATCAGGGTGGGGTAGAGGGGAGAGGGTTAGGAGTGCTGGATGCCCATGAGCCCCATGTCCCTCCCTGACCCCACCACTGCTGTCCCCTCAAAGTACCTCTGAATCCATTGTTCTTTGTAGGAAGCGCTGAAGGAAATGCCTGTAAAAAGTTCCGACTTATTGAAACTCACATGAAACTGATCCCAGAATGGGCCAAAGGGGTTTCCTTCCTGTAAGAAAAGAGTGATGGAAGACTCACTTGGGAGACGAAGGAAAGACCATCCAGGGTTGGGGCTAAGGAACTGTAGGGGAACCCTGGGTGCTCTGACTCAGGATGAAATACCCTCTTAGGATGACTCCCTGGGCTGAGGGCTGAAAAGAGTTGCTTGGTTTCCATTCCAGTTTCCAGTAGGAAATATTCTCTAGTGTTTGATAGTCTTTCCCATTCACAAGTCAAGTTCCACCACCCCTGAAGAACTGGTGGGCCCAGGGAGGAACAGACCTTGGGATTGGATCCATGGACTAGAGCTTCAGTAGACTTTCAAGACTGGCTAATAGACCACCCTTGTTTTCCAACATGGAATCCAAGGCTCAGAGAAAGTAAGACACATGCCCAATATCACACAGCATGTGAGGGCATTGCTGGGAGCTGCAAGCTAGATCTCCTTTCTCAAATTTCATGGTTCTGCTAACCACTCTCCCCAAACTGCAGCATCCATACTGAATGATAGATTTGGGGATTATTTTATTCCCAAAGTGCCAGAAATTTGCAAATTTCTACTAATAAAATATGGCACTTCTCATCTACCTTCTGAGAGGCAGAAAAGTCTTCAAGTTAAGAGGATGGACAAAGAAGCCAAACTATCTGGGGCTGAATCCCAGCACTACCACATCTGCTGTGTGACTTTGAGCAAAATTTTGAACCTCTTTGCCATATTCAACATCCTGTCTATGTAATGGGGATATCATTAGTACTTTCTTCATGGAGCAGTTTGAGATTAAATGAATTAATATGCACAAAGCTCTTAGTACGGCATCTGACATAATGAGGATTAGTTATTATTATTGATGTGGCACCTTATACTTCACAAGCATTCTTATACTTGGTTGTCTTGACATTTTCTGAGAAAGAAGGAACAGAGACTAGCATTTCCATTTTTTTTTTTTTAAAGTTTCCTCATTTGGCTGTTTTTTTTTTTGTTGTTGTTGTCAATGGACCTTTATTTTATTTATTTATATGCAGTGCTGAGAATTGAACCCAGTGCCTCATATGTGCTAAGCAAGTGTTCTACCTACCAGTGAGCTACAACCCCAGACCTAGCATCGCTATTTTGTAGGAAGAAATTAAGGCTCAAAGAAGCAAATTCTGGACAAGGTGACACTGCTGATAAATGCCAAAAATAAACCTAAATCTCCATCTTCTATTCTAAGCCCTTCTGGGACCCTCCCCTACATAACGTGCTACTACACAATCTCAGGAGTCCAGTGGACATAGAACAGGCAGAAAGGGCCCCCAAGGGGCTGGGGCTGGGGCTCAGTGGTGGAGCACTTGCCTAGCATGTGTGAGTCACTGGGTTCAATTCTCAGCACCACATAAAATAAATAAACAAATAAATAAATAAAGATATTGTGTCCATCTATAACTTGAAAAAAAAGATAAAGAAAAGAAAGGGCCCCCAGGCTCACAGGACCCACCTTCATGGGGCATGTCTTCTTATCAGGGCTTCGCTGTGCTGCCACCTCAAAGCAGTATGCCACCCGCTTCTCGGGGGGCCAGTGGGTGGGAGCCAGCTTCTCCATGAAGTCCTCCAGGCTGATGACCCGATGGTAAGCCTGGAGGGGCTCCAGCTTGAAGTACTTCTGGTAGGACACATGGAGCTACGGGAAAAGGAGGGGCAAAGGTCCTACCTCAGTGTTCCAGTTTAGAGACATTAACTAAAACCATACACTCCTAATTCCAGACACTGCAGATTACGTGACAATGAAAAACTTTTGTTAAAAGACACCAAAATAGGCTCAAGATATAGCTCAATAGTAGAGTACTTGCTGAGCATGTGTGAAGCCCGGGGTTTGATCCTTAGCACTGAGAAAAAGAACACTAAAGTCAGGACAGAGACAAAATGGGGGATTAAATCTGCAAATTCAAAAGTGAATAGTAGTATCCCTCGTGCTAAAAAATGACAGCTGATCTATATGACAAATAATGGGCAAAGGATAGAGGTGAATAACTCACAGCAAAGGAAACCCAAATAGCCAATACTCTCAACTGATGTGCAACCTCACCAATAATTAGGAAAATGCAAATTACAGTTATGAAGAGACATCACTTCTCGCCCAGGAGGCCAGCAAAACATTTAAATGCTAACACTAATTGTTACAAAGGATGTGGGAGTTAGGCACTCTCACACATGGCTGGCAGCTGACCTGTATATTTTGGACAAACCACTTTGGGATGCAAGCTGTCAGCATTTTAATTCAATACAATTAAAATGTTCCTTCTACTGTTAGGTATTTGCCCTGGAGAAGTTCTTTCACTTTTCACTGGAGTTGAGTACAAGGATGCTCAATGATACAGTGGAAGAATAGGGAAGAGCACAGAAATTACACCCAATACACTGAATCTATGGAGTGGCTGCCTCTGGGGGTGGGGAGAGGGACTGGGATTCGAACAGAGGCCAAGAAAAGTTGTCCTACACCAACTTTATCTGCAATGCTTCATTTCTTTTATTAACAAAAAGAAAAAGTGAAGCAAAAAGGAGACAGTATTAATGATCACTTTTAGCAGTGATATATGAGTGATGGTTGTATTCATCTTTGTATTCTTTTTAGATTAAAAAAAAATTAAACACCATGGAATAAAACTTGAACTTCATCCTATTGGTCAGGGTTTCCTAAACATGTTGCACTAGTTCAGATGGATAAAAGGTTCTGCATAAAGGAGCTCCAGAGCTAACGAAGCCAAGGAAATGCTATTTTAAGTTGCTTCTTTATTGCAGCAGGTCTTTTTAGGGCCTTAAACACGCTAATGTGCATTGTGAATCTGAAAATTTTGGGGGATAAGGAATTAAGAATATTTCCCAAACTGATTCAACTATGGCACCCTTCTAAGACTGGAAATTGGGGTTCCAATGAATAGATTTTAGACACCTTAGCTATTAGCAATAATAGTATAGCTAAAGGATTTTTTTAATATTCATTTTTTAGTTATAGGCAGACACAATACCTTTATTTTATTTTTATGTGGTGCTGAGGATCAAACTCAGTGCCTCATGCATGCTAGGTGAGCGCTCTACCTCTGAGTCACAACCCCAGACCCAAGCTGAAGGATTTTTTTAGCACAAAAAATATTGAAAGATCATTCTGGTGGTAGAGGAGAGAGGAATTAGGAGGTTACTGCAATGGTCTTTTTCTTTGTTCAAGTATCATTCAGCATGCACTCACTGGGCAGCTTCCACACATTTAAGTGAGAGATGGAGCAGCTCAGACAGGTCAAGATGCAAAGGAAGGTGAAACAGGGGTTGTATGTATGTACGTAAGGAGAGGCACAAAGGGGAACCTTTAGGTTCCTAGCTTGGCATCCAGGTGAATGGCGTGGCATAAAATAAGGCTGGGATTACAGACAGTGACAGGTTTGTGGGGAAAGATGCCAAGTTCAGTTCGGGCTGTGATCTGAGATATCTGAAGGACATCCAAGTAGACTCAAGGGTCTAGGAGTCAGAAATTCAGGCTTGTGATCAAAGAGTGTTAGCCATACATAAATTGGATAGGTACCTGGAAAACAGTGAAAGCCATAAGAGTCAACAGAAATTTATAGCAAAGCAAATAATGATAATAATAGTAACTACTACTTATTGAGTGTTGATTTAGTGCCAGGTATTATACTCATCACTTTACAAGGATTTATTCATCAATTCTACCACCTCCAGTATATTTATAAAGAAACCTGGGCATACAGAACCTAGGTGACTCATCTGAGCCCACAGAGCTCGAAAATAGAAAGAGGACACACACCAACAACTAAACAGTGGATGGAGAGAGAGGTGCTCCCAGCACAACACAAAGAGGGAAATGCTGACAGGTCAGGGCTGTGGCAGGAATCAGTGGTGTCCTGGAAGCCAAGGGAATAAGAAAGTTCAGGAAGGAGAGAGACTCACAGGAAGTCAGGTGAGATGAAGACTGAGAAATAAACCCTGGATTTGGCAATTCTGAGGTCCCTGGTGACCTCAGTGAGAACAGTCACAGCAGAGAAGGAAAGCCCAATTGGGGCAGGTTGAGTAACCCACAGAAATAAAGGAAGTGGAGACTCACAACTGGCCAAGACCATAAGGAGAGAGCAAGCAAGTTAGAGGGAGGTGGATGGGCAACATCTAAAGGTAAGAGTGAGAAAAAAAAAAAAAAAAATGAGAACGCTGACAGGTCCCAGAACTGAGAACTTCTTGTGTCCTAGGTTCTTCGCATTGAGGAGCTCAGGTGACTCTAAGAAGGAGGCAGATGACAACATCCCAGGCATGGTACCACCATTAACCCATTCAGTTCTTACACGGGATATAGGGACAGTTATTACCAAGCTATTTTAAAGAAGAGGAAACTGGTTGGGCTGTGATGCATGCCTGTAATCCCAGCAACTCGGAAGGCTGAGGAAGGAGGATTGTAAGTTCAAAAACAACCTCAGCAACTTAGTGAGGCCCTAAGCATCTTAGTGAGACCCTGTCTCAAAATTAAAAAAAATAATAATAAAAAGGGCTGGGGATGTGGCTCAGTGGTTAAGCACCCTGAGTTGAATCCCTGGTACTTAAAAAAAAAAAAAAAATGAGGAAACTGAGGTACAAAAAGGTACCTTGCCCAGGTCACACAATTAGTTAAGTGGATAAGCTAAGCTCTGGTCTCAGATACTCCGGCTTTTAATTTCAATCGCTCCAGGGCTTGGCTATAGCACCATGGTAGGATGCTTGCCTAACATTCACAAAGCCCTGGGTGTGATTCCCCATCACTTGTAAGAGGGGTGGAAAAGGACTGGAAATGGAAACTCAAATTCCTGTATGAAAAATGGAAAATAAAACCTGTGGGACTCAGGAGGCTGAAGCAAGAGGATCACAAGTTCAAAGCCAGCCTCAGCAACTTAGCAAGACCCTAAGTAACTTAGTGAGATCTTGTCTCAAAATAAAAAATAAAATACAAAGGGCTGGCTCAGTGGTTTAGTGCTCCTGGTTTCAATTCCTGGTATAAAAAAACAAAAGACCAATCTATGCAGAGAAAAAGCTTTATGAATAAAATGCAGTGTTTTGTATATACTTAGTGTTATTCCTTACGTCTATTAAAGTTTTTTGTCAATTCATTAAATACTAATTAAGTTCCTACTGTCAGGCCCATGGGATATGGTGTGAACAAAGGCAGACATGGGGTCATTAAGACACAAAGATAAGCCAGGAATCAGAGGATGCTAAGCAGACCATGCTGAGGGAGTCCCCTGATGGGATAAGAGGCAGCACTGCAACCAGAATACTTGGGGTTGTGGTCTTGGCCTCAGTTTCTTTCTTTCTTTTTTTTTTTTTTTGTACTAGGGATTTAACCCAGGGTTATTTAACCACTAAGCCATATCCCCAGCCCTTTTTTATTTTTTGAGACAGGGTCTTGTTAAGTTGCTTAGGGCTTTGTTAAGTTGCTGACACTGGCTTTGAATTTGCAATCCTCCTGCCTCAGCTTGAAAAGCTGCTGGGATTACAGGCATGCACCACTGAACTCAGCAACCTTAGTTTCTTCTTCAAAACTGATAATCATATCCATCTTTTTTTTTTTTTTTTCCAGTATTAGGGATTGAACCCAGGGGTACTCAACCATTGAGTCACATCTCCAACCTCTTTCATTTTTTTATTTTGAGACAGGGTCTGGCTAAATTGCTGAGGTTGGCCTTGAACTTACCATTCTCCTATCTCAGACTGGGATTATAGGCATACACTATTGTGCCCTGCACCCATCACCTACTAATGGGAATGCACAGATGGTGGAATCAATCAGGACTAGAAATGGAAACTTTAGGTCTCAAACTCTGAAGTCAGACAGACATGGGTTTAAATTCTAGGTCTACTACTCCTATAAGCTGTGTGACCTTGGGCAAGTTACCTAACCTCTCTAAACCCCAGTTTCCTCATGAGGATGAGAGGTGGGAGAAATGAGCTAATCCTCATGCAGTGCTCAGAATAGAGTCAGCACACAGCAGGGACTGGAAAAATGTTAGCCATTGTTATTCCAGGGAAAAAGAGTTCTGAGAGTAAGACAAAATCAGAGGAGTAGGAGGTAAAGCCCAGAGGACTTGGAGGTCAAGCAGAAGTCAGCAAGACTGAGGAAGCGTGGACAAGGGCCAAGGTCAGTGGGAAGTACTCACATTGGTGAAGGGAGGTTTGTGATGCTGGTACTCAATCCACGGAGGTACAGCCAAGGTGCGGTTCAACAACTTTGCAAATGCCAGGGAGCCCAAGAAGTGATCAGCCTGGTTCCCAAAGCGCCCTGGAAATGGTATGTTGTGGCTAAGGTGAGGCCTCAGGCATCAAGGACATTGGGCATCCAGGGGTGGGGAGAGCCAGGATACCAAGGAGAGCAAGTTGGACTCCTGAGTCCGGCATTCAAGGCCCTATAGGTTCTGCTCCTTAAGCCTCAGCAACTCCAGATTCCCTGCTATTTCCCCCAACATAAATCTACAATTCTCACACTACCCCTATCCCTAAGATCCATTCACAAACCCCCATCCAGTTGCACTCTCCCAACTTGGATATGAGTTTCTTTCTTTTTTTAATATTTATTTTTTAGTTGTAGATGGACACAATATCTTATTGTATTTTATTTTTTTTATGTGGTGCTGAGGATCGAACCCAGGGCCTTGCACATGCTAGGCGAGCTCTCTACCGCTGAGCCACAATCCCAGCCCTTGGATTTGAGTTTCTTCAATTCTTTTCCTCAAATGTCTTTTCTCATTTCCTGGCTTTTCGTACTGGCCGTTTTCTCAGCCTGTGAATGCCTCAGGTGGAAGGATTGTATCTGATTACTTTTGCTATCCCCAGCATGATCTCCATGCTAGGATACAGGAGCAAGCATGGATAAGATCTCTCCCCTCAAGGCACTCAGTGCTGATGGGGAGATACCACACATGTAAACAAATACATAATGATGACTTTTTTAAAATTTCAAGAAAGAAAGGAAAAGGTTTGATGATGGAAACTAGTAAGGAGATTACTTGGGTAGAAATCAGTCAAGTCCTCTCTGGTGACATTTATGCTGAGACCTGGAGGATAGGAAGGAGTTGGTAGGGCAAAAGTGAACCGGAGGTCATTCCTCACACACCTGGGTGTGAGGAAAAGAAAGGCTGCAGCTGGAGGGTTAGGAGAGAAGGGAGTTGTGGAGGTGAACAGCAGTCGATCAATTAATGCAGCGGCCCAAGGGCCATGGTCAGGAGCCTGGAGGCCATTGGAGGATTCTAAGAAGGAATTACTTTTTCAGTGATACTTCATTCCACTGAAACTGCATTCTTCGCTGGCCCTTAGATTCTTCCTTACCCTGATCTCTTTTATTTTACTGTAGTTTTCATTATCTTTGAGAAAAATCATGTACTTACTTATTTTTCACGTTTATCTTCTACTGTCTATTTTCCCCATTTAAAATACAGCTCTAAAAGGGGCTGGGGTTTATTTGTCTCATCACATCCGTACTCTCAGAACAGAGAACACAGCCTGGCACAGAAAAGGTATCCCATAAATATTTGTTGAATGAATGAAAGAAATCGCTTGGAGCTAGCATGGATCAGTGACATCAAATCCTGCCCCACTAACTCCGTTTACTGAACTCCAGGCTGGCTTAGACCTCGAGTAAATCACATAACCTCTCCCAGCCTCAGTTTTCTCATCCATCAAATGGAAAGGTGGATACCGTGGCCCTCTGTGCCCTCGCAAATAGGGCAGAGGGGAGAAGCGCAGACCCTGCAACGCTCTGGGGATCTCTCCTGGACCTGTCAAGGAATCTGAGCGCCTCAGAGGAGTGGCTGCTCTCCCGGTCTCAGTTTCTCCATTTGAGCAGAGAGCTCGGGAGGCCTTACCCATGCAGGGGCAGTAGAGCAGGTAACCGGCCGGGTCCCAGGAGCCCGTGGGCAGCCCGGGGAGAGGCAGAAGCAGTAGCAGCACAGACGCACGCAGTGCCAGAGGCCGCAGCGCCCGCGCGGCGGCGCCCATGTCGGCTCCAGAGCCTGCGCGCGCCAGGGAGAAGAGGAGGGGAGGAAAGGAGGGGCGCGAGCGTCCGCCCCGCTCCCGGCGGTCCCCGCGCGCCGCCCGCGCGCCGCCCCGGCCGCTCTAGCCCGCCGGCGGGCGGGACCATAGAGAGCCCGCGGCACCGCCCCTCCACGGCCCGAGCGCCCGCTCGCGCGGCTCCCACAATGCACCGCACAATGGCCGGACCGCCGCCACTACCGGGGCCTGAGCGGGCCTGGCGGAGCCCGAGCGCGGCCCGGCCCGCAGCGCGGGGCTCCGAGCGCGGTGAGTGCGGCGAGGGCTCCAGGGGACGGCGGGGAGCGGGGTGGGAGGTCGTCTCGCTGCGCCCGCACGCCGGCACCCGGGGCGGCGGCGCCCCTCATTTTGGGCCCCTTAGCGCGGTCGTCCACACCCCCGACTGGGGGCCCCTTCTGCTCCAGCCCGGCCCGAGATAGGCCCCAGGATGCCGAAAACTTTCCCCGGACCTCATACCTATGCCTGGGGGACCCGAAGAAGCCCCGCTGGCCCCCTTCCTTCTTAGATCTAGAGGCTCAGCCCTGAGGGTCCTCCTGTCCCGACCCCCAGGCTCCCTGGAGACCCAGATAACGCGCTGCCGACCTTACCAAGGACCCCGGTCTGGGGGACGCAGATAAGCTGCACCTGCTCCCTCCCTTAGACACGCCTACCCCGACCCACATAACCCCCTCTTTCCTGCTCCAAACAGTCCGCTTTTTATCCTCTGTTTCATTTGCGAGGTTTACATAACCCCCTTTGAGGCTTCCATCAAATACCTGGGTCTGGAGAACCCAAATAAGCCCTACCTGTAGTTCCCTTCCTAGTGACTGTTTTCACGAACTTTAGACATTTTCCATCGGGGGTACCCATTTTGAGATTCTCTTGAAATTCAGAGAATTTAGAACATCTTCAACTCCCAGAGCCCTCCTCCAACCCTTAGAATCCCCATCTCTCTCTCTTTTGGGGTCCCTTGGAAACGCACATAACTCGCTCTCATGATTCTTTACCATGTTTGACCTTCTTTCCCATCCCTGAGATCCTGAATTTCTGTTTCCTCCCCATGTGTCCACTCCCATCTCCCAGTCTTGGGGAATTTAACATTTCCCACCTTACATGGGGTGGTCTAGAAACTAGTCTGGGTGGGCAGGCTTTTTCCTGCAAAACCAGCCCCATGCTATGGCCCAGTTTGGTGGCCTCCTGTAAGGTGGAAGATAAGGGCCAACAGTGTGGGGGAGTTGGTGCTTTTCACCTGTAAGTGTAGCCTGTCTCCTGCCTTGTGTGTTTTTCCACCTGTGAGCTTGGGACTGTGATAGTTTGGCCTTGGGTTTCTAATCCTCCCCTAGTGTCCAAGGTGAGGCCACAAGATTGGGGGGGTGGGGTGTCTCATGGAGTTTCCTCACGGTGAAAACGAGGCTTTAGTGAGTTGCAGCCATTTGCTCAAGGCCTCCCCAGGAGTGGGAGGCTGCAGGAATCTGAGGAAGTCCAAAGAGGGCCCATCTACACTGACAGAAGAACTAGCAGCACAAGAGTAAATCCAACCCCCTGTTAATCCTGTTTGATGTTTCTTGGAATGATGCAAGTCATTGAGACTCTCCAGCCTCCCTGTAATTTAATTCTCCCACCACTCTGAAGTGTTGTATGTGTGAGTTGGAGTGAGCACGACAGCTATTCCCATTTCCCTTTGCTTCTCACTGTTTTCCAGCCAACCAGTATGCTTTTTGGGTATCCCAAGTCAGGACCTATTCTATATATAATTTCCTAGTTGCTATTTTGACTTTTGCTTTAAGGGAAGATTCAGTCCACCCCAAGGAACGTTCCTGGGTGTGTTCCTCCTCGGCAGGTGTTGAATTGAGTTCTTCAGATCCCCAAGTAGCTCTTGGGCAGGAGGGATAAAAGCTATTTTAGGGTAGTCACTGAAGTGGAGCTGTTAATCCTCTGTGGGTCTCTTTAGTTAAGAACTCTCAGAGATTAACCCTTTCCTTGCAGGGACAGGGAACTAGCTCAACAGGATTTTGGGGGACAGTTGGGAGAATTGGAGTGTGGTAATAGAAAGTGGGAACATGTAATTTAATACAAAGACAGAGGTAATAGCTCTCTTTCGTTGGGCACTTATAGCAGACCAAACCCAATGCTGAGCTCTTTGCATACCTGCCTAAAATAATCCTTACAACAAGCCTGTGAAGTAAGTATTTTAGCTTACAGATGAGGAAACTGGCTAATAATGGAGAAAGAACGCAGTTTCTATAGAGGTGATGTAACACCATAAAAACTATAGTTTCATCAGAGGGCAGCAGGCATCATGGCATACAGCAGAGGACAGACAGGAGCAGTATGTCTCCGTTTCAGCTTTCAGAGGCCAATCACAGTTTTGAGCAAACATTCCTATTTGGGGTATGGAGACTTAATAATAGAAGAGGGTACAATAAAAGCATAATAAAGTGGCTATTCAGGCAAGAGAAAAGTCTGGCCCAGGAGATGTGCTAGAGGAAGGTGAAGGAACTGGTTAGAATGGATGTGCTGAGGGTTAGTTGTGAGGGAAAAGCGGAAGGCTGCATTCTGGGGACATGTCAGGAAGGGAAGGAAACTCACTCTTAGGCTTGAGAAAATACTGAAGGGAAAAAAAGAAGTACTAGTCAGGTGCGGTGCAGAAAAGAGGCAGATGCAACTTGGACCTCAGAGAGGACATTGCATGTATTCAGCATGTTTCATGTCACTTCTAAGAGAATTATTTCACTTAATCCTCTAGGAGAATTTTATAAGGAGAATAATCTCTATTTTAGAAATTAAGGAAAGCGTTTCAGAGAAATAAAGTAACTTGCCTATGACTTCACAACCAGTTAAGTGGCAGTTCTTCTGATAGCAAGTCCAAGGTTCTTTCCATACTACCTCCACCTTCAGATCAGATGCCAGAAAGGATCCTAGGCTGAAAATATACTGAGTTATACCAGTCTGGGAGGGATTGTGTTTGTTTTATGGGAACAGGTTCTGTCAGCTTTCTGTAGTTGTTACAGTTAGAGCGTGAGACCAGAAGAGCAGCTTTGAAAGAGAAGCAGAATTCTTTTACAGTTTCGTGGAGGAAGGAGAAGTCTGAAGGAACAGGCCTGATTATGTGAAACAAATCCAGGAATCTTCTGGATCACAGGAGTTTTCAAACAAAGGACAGAGAACTAGATTCCCAAAGGGTTCCTAGGTAATACAACAGCTTGTTGGTGACAGATAAGGTCTTTACTGTGCCATTTTGTGTGTGTGCGCGCGCACGCGCATTGGGAATTAAACCCAGGGGTGCTTAACCACTGAGCTACATTCCCAGCCCTTTTTTTATTTTTCATTTTGAGACAAGGTCTCACAAAGTTGCCTAGGTTCTCTCTCAGTTGCCAAGGATGACCTCAAACTTGGGGTCTTCTTCCTGCCTCAAGCCTCCTGGGTCACCGGGATTACAGGACTGCACCACCATTCCCAGTTTACTGTGCCTTTAAAAAGGCCTATAGGGGACTAGGATCTGGGTGGTGACTCTTTTCTTTTAACCTCATTAAGTGCAGATCAAGGCAAGCACATGGTTCCCGCCTTCTTCCTTGGTTCTATCAGTACAACCTCATGAGCTCTTCTGAGCCATTACCATCCTCTTTCCTAGAAGCCCATTACTCACTCTTTCAGTAGCTGCATGCTAAACTACTATGTCTTGTTTGTGCATGTTTGAGAGAATAGATGAGGTGGACGTGTGGGAGGTGGGGCTGTACCATTCTCTTTCTGAGTTCGTACGGAATTTCCAGGGTTTGGCTCCCCTCTCATATCAGCCAGAGTAGTGTGCTTGCTTTCCTCTGGCTGCCATTCCCAACTTTTCAGAGGCTGAAGTGCATGATTTCAGATATGAAGGGAGAACAGAATTTGACTTTGAAGGTAGGGGAAATTCCCTCCAAACAAGACACGCACACTCAAGCTCACCGTCTTCCCGGTTCCAAGGTGCATAGTAAGCACTGGTATTATAAACAGGTAATTCCACCCTTGCGAAGGAGGAGGGGACTTAGACAATGAAAGGCAGAGAACAGAGGCCTTTGAGGTTTTTAGTGAAGCACAAGTATGCCATAATGACTTGAAGGCTCAAGTGGGTCTAGTTTTTAGTGCTGCCTACCCCCTCCCAGCACATGATTCACATAAAACATGGCCACCTGTGTGCAGCTCTGTCTAGGCACATCTCCACTCATGATGGGGAAATGTTTATCGCATTACATTGCAACATTTTTTCAACAAGAGGGAATGGTTCCTGAACAGGATGTAGCTCATGTTAATGATGAGCAAAGCTCTCTGGGGCATGAACCCGCTGATACTATCATCTCGTTCATGGCCAGTCTGTTGGATGAATGGTCACTGTAAGCAGCAGGTGCTAATGAGCTGAGCAAGCATTCTGTAGCCCACAGCTAGTTTGTACAGTTGGAGCCCTCCCCAGATTCTTATGGACAGTCCCCAGATACCCCCTTTGCTCTCTTCACATGGAAAAGCCATATGACCACATTTGACATGATCTCTTCAAAGGGAATCTCCCTGTTGTAACAGGGTGCGTTGTAGTTGGTAATATGTGGTGTGCTCTAATGAGTGTGAATGTAGGTCTGTTGTCCGCCTTTTGAGTGTCAGTATGGAAACTCCCATCCCTTTCTTCTGAGGTGGTGTCAGGAAAGGAGATGTTTCACCACTGTTCCTGCCCTCCTCCCTTCCTGGTACCACTTCTGCCAACAATAGAATGGGTCAGATTTCAAGTTGATATTCCTTTTCCAGATATTAGATGTATGGCGATACCTAGACCCATTAAGAGAGATGATAGGAGCCCTCAGAATCAGAGTTGGGTGGAGAAATCTAAATTCTAATGCAAGTGTGTTACTTGCTGCTAATGGAGAAGTGCATATATGCCCTGAGAGTCTGTAATAGGGGCTACCCAGCACCTTGGGATGTTGGACAGGCTTTGCCACAGAGGTATGAACTGGACCTGGA